GCAAAAAGCAGAGTCTTCCTCCACTCCTTATTTATTGTCGTTACACTCCAAGCCACCATTCCAAGCGAATATATTTAAACGGTGGACGTCTTTCCTCTTTAGAGTCATGTACACGTACAATCACATAGGGGATATGTTGGATTATTTTTTCTCAAATTACCAATGAAATTTTGACCTTTTAATTTTCTAACTAATGCATATACATAGTGGGTTTTTTTTAAAATTTTTTTGTTTTTGACAAACTTTTCAAAAAACGAAACAGAAGTACATTATAAAGTAGGAAAAAACAAAACAACAAAGGAAACAAAAACAAATAACAATCATAACGACCAAAAAAGAAAACAATGTTGACGAGCACGAATAGTCAACCAGACCTAGAGACGAGGAACCTAACGAATTCAACAAGAATCAAATTTTAACCGAATGTCTTTGATAGCCCTTAACAACCAAACACAAGAAATATTATTCGAACATGAACGACATAACATGGAAACCAGCACTGTGCTGTCTGTATAGAGTAGAAGTCTCAAAAACCCTTTTCATCTAGCATCTTGAAGAGCACATAAGCAAGCTTGTAATTTTGATTGTAAAGCTAATAAAGTCCGACAAGCTCGGGCACACCCACCCAAAATAGTAGAGGAAAACTCCTCTCTAAAATTCCAACCAACCCTTACAATCTGATCACAACTGTTCCAAGTGACATCAAAGACTATACAATAGTTTGCAATACCAGAATACGAGCCATGTAAAAACCTAGAGGTAACAAGAGAGGACATGAAAACTGAGTTAGAAAACGTAGCAGCCTCCAAACAACGCGATACCCAATCTGCAGAAATATGAAGAACTGAAGCAGGAGACTAGACCACATAACTAAGAACAATGTGATTACGAGTAAGCCAAATAGCCTACTACAAAAAGATCAACGTGGCTAGACTATGCCAATTCCAAGACTTCCCATAACAAGAAATCATCTCTTTGAACCAGTGAGTAAACGAGTGTACACTTAAAGAATTACTCTAGATCCCCAAGGGACTGGTGGTCAAGAGATGAGAAACAAACGAACAATTAATATTGCGAAATAAATGTGAAGTTGTTTTGAAGTGATTATGACAAAGAACACACACGGGGTTGACAGGAAGTCCCCGGGACTACAAAGTAGCAGAAAAAGGTAAGGAATTATGAAGCAATTTCCAGGAGTTGAGGATGACGATATATACGTTAACTCTGCTTAAATATCAAGGCTGAGCTAAAGCTATGTAAAATACGAAGCCCTAGTCCACCAAAACCCTTAGGAAGATGAGAAAAAGAGTGAAGGGTCATCCCCCCAGACAAAGAGGAGGAACACTAACAGAAACAAGCAAGCATTCGATTAATATGTTGATAAATCTAGGAAGGGATTTAAAACATAGACCAAATATGGTTGAACAAAGTAACAAGAACTGAATTGATAATCACCAACTTAGCTATTGAAGAAAGCCGAAGAGAAGTGAAATCAGAAAGGCGTTTTTGAAACTTTGTCTATCAGGAAATAGAACTCTGAAACCTTACATCACCCCAAATCAACCGGCAGTTCCAAATAAGAATCCAAAGAATCCCTACATTGAAGCCTCAAACTACGAGCCAAATAATCCTGGTAATCAGAATGAGCGTTCGGACTGAATTTAACAAAGGACTTCTGCAGATTAACCATTTGACCACACATACCACAAAAATCTGAAAGAAGGCCCACTAGATTATCACAGGAAGACGAAGACACTTGGAAGAAAAACAAGGAAGGGTCTGTAAAAAAACAAATATGAAATAGAAGATGCTCCACGCGAAATACAAATTCCTTTAGTAACGTTTGTTCCTTTACACTGCGTAACATGGCAAAAAGAACTTCCATACAAAGAACAAACAAATACAATGAAAGCGGATAACCCTACCAAAGACCACATTATGGGAGAAAGGTGAAAGACGGATCTCCATTAACCAATACCTGATGAGAGACGCACTAATGTATAATATGAATCCAGTACGGAGGAAAACCAAAGACCTTTAGAACATGAAGTAAAAAATCCCAACAAAACTGATCATATGCCCTATTCATGTCCAATTTTAAAGCAGCATAAAACCGTTTCCTAGCATTTGAAGCATTCATGAACGAGAGAAGTTCATGGGAAATTAGAACATTGACGAACATAAGATGTCTTGGAACAACAACATTCTGGTAATCGGAAACCAAAGAAGGTAAGACAAGACGGAGCCAACAAGAAATACATTTGGTAATGCACTTGTAAAGCACATTAAAAAGACCAATAGAACCAAACTCGATAACTAGCTTCGGATTGTCAACCTTGGGAAGCATAGTTAAGAATGCACAATTCCACTCCTTCAACATATAACCATAAGTAAAAAAATATTGAACTGTTGTAGCTACGTACAAAAGAACTGACCAACTGCTAATGAATCTTGAAAAAAGCCAAATAAAAACCATATGGTCTTGGAGTCTTATTATCATCAATACTAAACATGGCATCCTTAATTTCAAAGGGTGAAAAGGGAATTTACAACTTTTGTTGTTGTTATGAGGACAAAGAAGGTAGATGAACCCTGATCCCACCAAGAAGAGCCTAGAGAGGACCCCTGGACAATATACAAATCGTTGTAAAATGAAAGAACCACCGACTTAATACCTATAAGATTTGTTACCCAATAACTATCTAAGGACTACAAACTGTAAATCTTATCATGACGGCGATGAGACTGAACCAAAGAGAAAAGGAGACGAGAATAACTCGTGCCATTTGCATCCCAATTAACCTTCTCATGCCATCTTGATAGCCTCTGCAACCTTTTCGTCCCTCACAGTGAGAAAAAGACATCGACCAACTTGAGTATGCAATTTAGAGGCAACCTGTCCAATAGACAAAGCCAAATTCTTTCAATTATTACCCCACAATACTTTATGAGAGGTGCACTAAACTAACAGACGTTCTCTAATGAAAGATAACTTACGATAGAGAGAAAAGATCCGAGAACCAGCGTCAACCATTGAAACTACAAATTCAACTATAGAGTGTATGTCCTTTGCCGATAAACACCAATTTTCTATCCTATAAGGTCCGATGAAATCTATTATCTTTAGGTGAATCATGCAGAATAATAATAGCATGATTCGGGGACAGGATAGGATGGTGAAGTACAATTGTATCCGGATACTCCTGAAATCGACAAGAAGTAGCATAAGCCATATCCAAGTGCTCGAAAGTTGAGTCAAAATCAGAGCGATTATTTGTCCAAGTAAACTCTTGCCCTGAAAACGGAACTTCTAATAAACCCGACTGTAAACGCCAGTCCATAAATTCATGAAGACCAGGTGTAGAAGTAGAGCCACCCACTTTATTCGTTAAAAATTCCACCTGGTTAAAATTCCCTAGTAAAACCAAGTGCGAATTAGAGCACAAAACACCCAAAAGGGCAGACCAAATTTGAGGCTGATCAACGACATGGGGCGCTCCATACACAAACACCACATATCTTATTACGGAGCCTTTAAGTATTTTACATAAGATGAAATTGAAGTAATCAAAATAGAAACTATCTGAATCAAGGAAAACCACAACAAAACAAACCACCACTCAAACCAACTACATTTTACCACAAAATCCTGAACAAGGAACACTAAACAACTTTTTCCTTGCACCAATATCTATAGATACAATAGTTTTCAACAAAAACATAACATCTAAGCCACATAAGAGGACTAAAGATATAATGTACGGAACTTTAGGGGAGTTCGGCTGCCCAAGACCCCTACAGTTTAATGATCCAAACTTCTTCTCATAGTGGGTTTTCCAATAAGGGGAGGCACCAACACTTCAGCACAGTCATCTGAGGAAATAGAAGAAACATGAATTAATTCTATAATAGCATGACCAAGTCACTCTTTTGAAGGAAAATAGTAAAATCAGTTTGACGACATGCTAGCTCTGAATTCATCATACAAATTTGTGTCTAAAACATGTAGAAAATTCACTCTCCATGTTTTTATCTTCCTTTTCCCGATCCTGGTAGAGGATTAATCAGTCGTTGGACAATCACCCTAAAACCAAACAATATTTCTACCTAAACCAACCTAAGACAAGTCTAGGGTAAGTAGAGGATCGTATCCACAGGGAATGGGTAAGGACACCAAGAGTATGAAACGGTTGCAATCTAGTTCGGTCACAAATTGGGGGTTTTGATTAGACAACTACTATGGAGACAAACACTAGGGGGAAATGGGAATCGACACCAACCAAACCAACAGATCAAATCAATAGGCAAACATGAACACAAATTGGGTGATAGAGAGGGCACTCAACATTGCCTTCTTTCGAAGCCACAACACTAAGCATTCCTAAACAAAACTCAACTAACAAGATAGGCCAACAAAGTCTTAACAACGAGAAGTAGACTACTAACTCGGGTTTGTCTTTCGATCGGTCCAAGAAAGCATTAAGGCACAAACAATTGGGATTTCTCACCTATTTGTCACAACTAAGACTAGTACTACTACATCATTTAAACAAGGAACCATAATCAAGAGGAATTTAACATAATCATATAAGAGTGGGCTCACAACTAGACTCCATCTTTCAATGCTAGCATAGAAGTGAATGCATGAGCAATAAGTGGCCAACCAATTACACATGCAATTAACCAATCCCTTAACAATCAATCAATCATCAACCCAAAATGAACATGAAAGCACAAACATCAATCAAACCATGGCTTGGTTGGGTCTTCACCCAACCCCTGGCTAATTAACTACTCACTAAACATGGTGAAGAACATCATAACAAGTTCTAATTCTAGCATTAAATTAACAAGTTGAGAGAAGTAGTAGGAATAACGTAGATTGGACATGCAAAAACAATTAAACAAGATCAAACAGTTCAATGTAAATAAAAACTGAAATTAAAGAGTAAGAGATAGAGGAAAGAGATTACTTAAAATGCTTCAAAGTTGAGAAATTGTTGAATTCAAGAGAACAATCTTCAATTAATATACTACAATGATTGAGTTTGAGAAGATCTAAGATAATTAATGAGGGTTTAGAGAAACTAAGGGCCTAAGAAAACTAAAGGGAAAGAAGATCCCAAAATATGAAGTCAAGCGTCCTATTTATATGCCCAAAAATTACATCATAAAATCCGTAAAAAATCGGGATTTAGAACAGGAGGAGCGCCCACTCCTCTATATGGAGCGCCTGCTCCTTGGCTCTCAACGTGCCCGCTCCTAGTGCAGCAGTTTAGGGCAGAATGGAGATGATCAGGGAGGAGCGCCCGCTCCTTGAAGATTGCACACCCGCTCCTTAAAGTGCAGGCGGTAGGCAGATTGTGGTGGATCAGGAAGGAGCGCCCGCTCCTTGGGGTGCACGCCCGCTCCTGCTTTGCTTCGCTTCCAAAATAGTTTTTCATGCTTATGCTATATGAACACACACATAAAAAAGATTGGGGAAGCTAAAAGCAATAAATGTGAACGAAAAGAGTTAGAAAAAGGGATTGAAGTAGGGGAAAGAGTACAAAATTATGTTTAAAGTGCCATGATAAGTGGACAAATAAAATACTTATCAAATTCCCTCAAGCTAGCCAATTGCTTGTCCCTAAGTAATTCACTTGGCGCAAAACCAATAGATTAGTCTGCTCAAAGAAAAGCACATGTAAAGATAAAAGATTCCTTAAGCAATAAAACTCGAGCATGAGGTATATGCCTAAGATCAACTACGGTCATGACTAGCCAAGACCTAGCTAACCTTCCCGAATGTACTCAACTTTGGTCCATTCAACTTATCTTACTGCGTCCCCAACACAAAGTTCAAATTCCCCCTAATGTTAGTGTCTCATGACTCCTCGAAGGAGCCGCAAGAAAATTAGACAAAAGAAGGTTTAGAACACTGGACATCTCAATGATAAGTACCCTCTCCATATGCTTGTGAACCAACTCCCTCCACCGACAATGGCTTCAACTACTCTACTAATATTACAAAACTCAAGGATTACGACACAAAGTAAAGGCATAGAGAAAAGTAGAAGTGTTTTGAAATTAAAGTCAAGATAAGATATATAACACTAAGAACAAACCTAAAGAGGTTTCTAACTTTGACCCAAATTACTAACTATGAATAAACTTAAAACAAAAACGCACCCCCAAGCTTGTTTAATTGCTAGGGTGGTGGCTATTCATCACTTCTTTTATTTCTCTTTTTTTTTTCTTTCTTTTTTTTTATTTTTTCATTTTTCCAAACTTGGACATTTACATCACAAACTATTATTTACAATAAATTAAAGATTGAACTAAGAAAACAAGAATGATATGCCTGAACTTCATTTTTTTTTTGTGAATGAACAATACATAACAACCTTAATCAATCACTAAAAGTAGTTTAGGCCGCAATCTTAGGAGTTGGGACTCAAGTTCTCGATCTAGGTACTAAATCAAAGAGGATCCTTGCCACTCATTCAAAATGTAGTAGGCTTGAAAAATATTAAAACCTCACTTTTAGAAACAATGTGGGATCAAATATTACCTTTTGGGGTTCAAATTCCTTTGATATGGGCGACACCTTCTTACCACAATCCCAGACCTTAAGTCTCGTACATTCGGTAAGGTTATTCTCACACTAGCTTAAACTAGCCAATTCTATGTTCAACCAAGGATATCTAAACCATGTTCGAAATTTTATTACCAAAAGAAAGCAAATATCTATCACATGCAATCCGATATCATCAATGAGGACTAGTCTAAAAGCAATTTTTTTTAGAGGATTATAAACAAGAATACAAGGGAAGGAGTTACCATTGATCTTGATGTAGTAGTGTCTCTTATATACAAGATGGTAAAAGTGTAGTGATTAGTAGCAAATCAAACAAGGACTATTATGAGTGGATCATACACATAAGAGTTAAACAATCATATTCCACAATTCATAAATAAACCGTCATTTGCAAAACTAAGACAATTATATCACAAGCTCACTTGAATTCATTTTACCATCAAAGACACTAATCGAATCATCAAGCCAAATGACTACAAGAAAAGACAATATATACAAAGTCTAATCTAATTAAAGAACACATTTTTTTTTTGAATTGAGAGGGGGAGGGGAGAGAAGAGGTACTAGCTAAAGAATTTGGATTAAAAGAAGAGGAACTAGCTAAAGAAGATTGGAAAGGAGAGGAGAAGCTAACTAAAGAATTTGGATTTAGGGCTTTGGATATTTTAGGTTTTGGATTTTTGGGAAGGAGAAGAAGCTCATCAACAAATATCATCTCCAATGGGGAAGCACATAAACCAAACAAAGCTCATTAAAATGTCATTCAACCAATAATGACATATTCAAAACATCCAACCGCAATTAAATTGAATCATTCATTCAAAATTTGTTCTATACAAACAAATACGAGTTAAAAATCATAAAACCTTTCTAATTAATGTTGATTTAAAAAAAATTATGCTAAGATATACCAATATCATATTGATCTAAAATTCACATAAATCGTCGTCGTCATTTGGTTGATGGTATCTAGTAACATATGAAGTCCACCTTTCCCTAACCTTGTCGGTCACTTGTTGAGAATATGTAGGAGGAACTTGCTTAAAATACTATAAAACAATGTAAAATACATACATATTAGTTAATAATATACGACCTCAAAAAAAAAATACAGTAAATTATGACTACACTATTATCCAATGAATCAAGAATCCTAGTTGTCGACTACAGCTATAGACCCATAAGAGAAACAATTACAGATTTAGTGACGCAGTCTTCTGAATATAGTAAGAAAGTTGCTATGGCTAGATAAGTGTGACTCCAAGGTAGGACTCTGAGGTTTAAGCCGTTTAACAGCAAAGCAAATCAGATAAGTAAATAACAATTTACCCTAATATGTCATTCTTGTCATAATTCTTTGTTAAATATGAACAGAGTAACACCTATAATGTTTGTGAAGAACAGTTGAGGTTTAAGTCGTTTACTCCCAATATTATTTCTCTATTTACTTAAACTTAACATTCTGATCTTCAACAACATGATCAACAACATCGCAGCTCAATTTACTATTTCCGCCATAGATGGTATAAGGAAAACTTTACCAAATAAAATGTTTACAGTACATCCTTACAGGTTTACATGATAATCACATAAGAAAGACAAATATCATAGCCATCAGCACAAAGAGCTCAGGGACTTCAGTTTTAACTATAATTATAAGCTATGTAGTTAATTTGGCATGATTTGCAAAAGCCCAGTTTAACTGAATTTTAAATCCAAAAAACTAAGACATATACACAGAAAAATAAACAGTAGAAAGAGAAGGCCTACTTGCTTACAAGGCTCAAATGCACAAAATTGTCCTGGATCTCCTTCACCTGATCAAATAATAAGTTAGCATAATTCTCAATCAAATAAGTGGATACTCCAATACATTAAATAAAGAAAAGTTATCTGAAGTCAGATCAGATGTTCCACATACCTCAAGTCTCTTCTCCCAATCTTTACCATAGATGTTACTTAAGATTGGGCCAACCTTAACAATAAACTAAGGAAGCTCTTTGGAAAAAATCTACAATACTGGTAAAAAAAATAAAAATAATCACATCCTAAACAACAAATACAATTCACTTATATAAATGTCATATTCAAAATCATAGTGTGACAAAGTACTTCAACTTCACGGCTTTTAGTATCTGACACAAAGTAACTCCACTCTGATTACCACCTTCATTCTTATCACTTATAATTTCCTCACCCAATCTCTTATTGATGTAGATAGCAAAGGCAAACATATATCCCTCTAATTCCTGTGGCTGAAATCAGAGATGTGCAGAAACATAGGAAATTGAAAGTAAACATGAAAAACCAATAACTATCATTACTTGGACTCTTCATTTAGACTTAGTTGCCGAAGTACAATATTAGACAATATGAAATGAAGATGGACACTTCATTACTCCATTCAAGTAAAAAAATAAAAGACATAAGTCAGATACTTGGACATTAGACATGGACGAACCAAGTCCAACACAAGTACCCGAGTCCAATTAACATAGCTTATAAAGCCTACTCAAGATGAAAAGATACCGTTGTGCTTCCGATAGGCGACACATTATTCAACAAAATACTTTTGCTATCAATAAACAATTTCGAGGCGTCCGGAAACATCTTTTCATTCAACGAAAATTGGTTATGCAAAAAAGTTTAAGTATAGTGTTAAACCCCAAATCTTGCAACAAACTACAAATGAACACAAAAATTGAGATAAACTTCATTAAAATAATTTCTTTCTCGTGTAACACACAAAATTATCCCATTCATAAAAATAACTCGAAAACGACAACCCGTAGAAATTATGCTGACACAAAAATACCATGATTGCCATTTAATTATCACTCTAAAACCCTCAAATTTCACACAAGTTCACAAATTATACTTTAATCTAGGGTTTCATATTCAAATATCACTCTAAAAGGACTAAAACCCTCAAATTTCACACAAATTCACAAATTATTATTTATTCTAGGGCAAGAGGGGCTGCCCTGCAAGGAAGAAGAGGTCTAATTTCATAGTTCAATCCTAACACCAAAGTGTTGTGCATTACATTAGCAACCAAATTTGATTCAATTATAAAAAAAATCACATAATTTTAGAGATATGTGATTCAAAGAGGCAGAAAAGCAAGTCTATGACGGCTCTGAATCTTATTCAAAAGCAGATGTAATCACAAAATCCCAATATATTTGGTTTTTAAACGACACCCAATTCACAAAATGGGCTCAGCCATATCCCCATCAATTCTACCAATAGCATATATTACCACCACACAAAAGTATTGTATTGTTTACATATAGTTGCCCAAAAGTATTGTATTGTTTTTTGCTTCAAAAAGTGAAACCTCCATAGTAGCCGCTTACTGTTTAACAAAAGTCTATCAATTTCACTTTCAATTTACCCCAAATTAAGAAAAGTAAAGTGAAAGTGAAAATGAACGTGCAAAGTGAAAGTGAAATTGATGAGTGGGCTTCAATATTCTTTACATATAGTTGCCTTTGTTAATTTGGGTAAATTATTACTCCGTATATTTTTTCCTCCTAATTTTAAAAAAACAATTAATTAATACAATACAAAACGGTTTTTAAGATGACCGTTCTATTAACATACATAACGCCTCTTATATAAACACGTTCTATATTCCTCTGTAAAACGCCTATCTTTGATAACTGTTCTATATTTTGCGATCTTTAATCTACTTTTTGGTGTAGTGACACAAGGCCTAAATACTCCCCCAAGCTAGACATTTAGTTACCGCTTCACTGAAATAAAATAGGCAATGAAGTAACCTCCCCCAAGCTTGGGATTGGAACCATCCTTAGTGTCCCAAGAAGTGAAAGGGGCAATGAAACAGTAACTAGAATGTCTCGATCATCTAATCGTGTCGGCGCACCGGCAAATAGTGATAATTGTAGTTGAAATCTACATCACTAGAATCGGTTGGGTCGTCTACATAAGGAGGTAGATCATAGTTTGGGAAAGTGTGGTAGCGACCATAATCCGGCATACCTTGCTCACCCCTACCACCATAATAGCCGGGTGGGAACCCCTAATGGCCCCTTAAGGGGGGATCAAGCACCTTCGAAGATGAACTAGCACCACCAACCTCGGGGACGTATTAATAGCGCGGGCCTGGCCAATAAGGATAGGTGGGTTGACCATTGTGCCAACCTGGAACCGCCCCTTGTTGAACGGGTCGGTTGGAATAGTTGAGGTAAGGGAGAAAGTCTCCCCTCTCAACTTGATGTTGGTAGCTTCTCTCCGCTACAAAACTTTGATATTCATTTTGCTCAAGGATTCTTTGGTTGGTTAGATTTAATTGGTTGAAAGCATATTCTACATCAAAGATGGAAGAGAAGGATGAAGAACCATCTACCCTAGATCGGGGGATGGAGGATGTACTCGCACGATAGGGTATAGGTTCATCCTCGTCATCGCCGGCCATACCACATGGGGGCTGCTCATGTGGCACTTGCCACGTGGTCCCCACCGAGCTATTAACCGCCGGATTTGGGAGAGTGTAATAATTCTTCCCATTGACTTTCCAACTATAGCGAATATTACGGCCTAGAATTTCAATACGAAACTTCATATCATTAAGTGCCTTAAAGTCAAGCAAGGTGGGGCCATGAATCAGGGTCATTTGGTCTAGCATAGACCCAAACCCTAGTATCCTCGCTATAATTGAAATCATCCCCCCACATCTAATATCACCATTCATCTCTCCACTCTCCCTTAAATCCTCGCATATTCTAATGAACAAGTATCCCATGTTCACAAACCCTTCCACATTTCCTTCGAATCTTGAAGCTATAAAGAAGCATTTGATCTCCTCTTTAGTTAGCTTCCCTAAGTCTTGTTTATAGAAACAATAATAGCTCATGATTCTCATGAAGATTCGAAGGACGGGGTGGATGATGTGGCTAGCATGGCTAGACCGGGTTGTGAAATTGGGATACCCCGCAATGGTAATTCACCAAAGTTTCTCCTCATAGCTTGAGAAGTAAGTACCAATGGGGTCATAGACTTGGTTAAGGACGGGCCATTCAAAAATTTCATTCAATCTCGTTAAGGTTAGGGTCTTCTCGGTATTGAACATTAGAAATTTAATCTCACACTCTAATGGCTCCCCCTCGAGGTTTATGTGCTTCATAAAGACCGTTAAGAGGAATTCAAGAGTTAGGGACTTGTAAGTCTCCTCCCTATTGTTTAAGAAGCTTAGCCAACCGAAGTTTTCGGCTACCCTCCTAATTCCATCATCGACCCCTAGGAGCCGCATTGAATCTTGATGATAAAATTGGGTTGGGATGATTTTTATTTTTGAGAGTTCATTGAAAGACTTTTTGTATTTTTCCTTAAGATTAAGTGCTAGAAGCGGGTTAGGATTTTCTTGTTGTGAAGGGGATTAGGATATTTGAGGTTCACTAGTCTTTCTTTTCTTAATTCCTCCAATGAATTTCTTCATTTTTAGTTTAGAAAAGGCTATTTAGGAATATCACTCAACAACAAAAAACTCCACACCACCCTTAACTTCAAAACCCCTTAAAATTCCAAGTGTACCTGTTTCACAACACGACCAAAATATATCCAAACACACAATTTTTCAAATACAATTGTAGGGAATATTTCAAGCATTACCCCAAACTTGAACATTAAGCATGGTGGCGTCAAAAGGGAAGGAAGCTAGAGTAAAAGAGTCGCCAACAAGTGTTACGAACTTGTAAACCGTTCACAGGATGAAGGTTACACCCCTTAACGATCCAGGAGATCGTTAACTCCAGTAGGTCTGGAACCAAGACTGGAAGTTCGGGGATGAAGGTACAAATCTAACCTAAAAGAGATTGAACCTACCCTAATAATAGGACTCTACTTTATTCTTCTCGTATTCATGTGCGCTTTCTAACTAACATGCAATCAATACGTTTACCCTAAACCTATTTAATCTATGTTGGTTGAATATTAATGCATAAACAAAACTATTATTGGCGATCACTTGAATTATAATCAAATTAACCCTAAACAAGATTATTAATTATCTTATTAAGCGTGATTACAAGTACAAATTCCCTTTAAACATGCATAAAAGGCGTGATCAAGAAATAACATTGGCAATCAAGCAACATAATAATAAAAAAATAATCAAAATAATCATGTTAAAGCATAATATAAATAGCAAGATCCTAGGCATGATACTAACAAGATTAATAACAAACCCTAGCATGTCGCTAAATATTAAATATCAAAGCTTTAACCCTAACATGATACTAACATGATATTAGGAAAGAAAATATGAAGCATTCTTTTAATCATACTTGATATTAGGAATTTTTAGTTAACCCTAAACATGATACTAGGAAGCAATAAAACATCCTAACATGATACTAGGAATCAAAATAATAATCTAAACATGATTTCTATATCAAAATATCAATTAAAAAATTAAAGCACTTACTTGGATGCCTCGTATATGTTTCACGTCTAGGGTGAAGGCAACTTCGAATTATGCTAGGTGTGTCTAGATCTTGTGAATACAGAATTTTGTTGGTAAAAGGTTGGTTTAGAAAAGGGAGAGAGAGAGTATCAAGATTTTTTAGATGAGAGTTGGTAGTTAAAAACGGAGGTTTAAGGAGGCTATTTATAACGAAAATAAGCCGGAATATGATAAAAGAAGAATCAGAGTTTTAAGAAGAATAAAACACGACGCCCGCGCCGCAAATGCCTCGGTCGCCGCGCGACAGGTGCGGCGCTGCAGGCAGTTTTCCCACACGTTTTCTATTTTTTGATTAAATAAAGCATAAAAATCTGTACGAGGGGTAAAACTGTACGTAATTTCATTTAAAACACTTCTTTTATTCTAAATAAAACTCATAAATTTCAATTGTCAATGCTACTCATATTAGGATTCAAAAGAACCTTATAGAAGATTCTAGAAGACTATAATCAATCCTAATTGCATTAGGAATGATAACACATAATAGGCCCTCCTCTAGATCATTGGGCCGCATATAATGATCAAACCGGGCCCAGTTCAGTAATTTGGCCATAACTTCCTCATTATTCATCGGAATTGGACTTATAATATATCGTTGGAAAGGTCTTTTCAATTCCTATCCAACTAAACTAATATTGGACCCTTATAATAGACAAAACTAAAATGTAATGCACGTTTTTCATAAATAGGGTAAGAAAAGAAATATTTTCAAAAACAGAAAGAAGAGATATTTTAATAAAAACATCCTCATCACTAGACTTTTCACACTTTTGCTTTGTTCGATGATCAAATGACTTGAAAGGTATTCATCACTAGGTTAAGTTGTGGGAAGACACATTTGTGTGTCTACAACAATGTACTTCACAATTTCACAAAAATTAAAATCACAAATTCACAAAATTTAAGAAATTTTCAATTATAATTTAAACTATTCTAAAAATCATTCACAAATTTTTCTAAAAATTCTCCATAGACAACAATACTTTCTTAAATTCACCTAATAATCATGCAACTAGTCACACAATCTAAATGAAATAAACAAAAATTAAGAAATTTTAAAGAAGGAAGTTGAGTAGATTAGTGGATTATACCAAATAGAGTATGAAAATACTCTAAAATCCCCAAGACTACCCAAATTTTCCTCCTCCTTTTCATCAAGATTTCACCTTTTTCTCTTGTTCTTCAATGGAGAAATTGGGGGTTTTCAAATTTTTGACCAATTTTGCGAATATTTGTGATTTTAGAATGAGAATTTGTGAATTTTGAGTGAAGAAAGTGAAGTATTGATGAAGAATTTAAAGAGAGAAGGTAGAGAAGATGGGGTTTTAGAGTGAGAAAGAGGTGGGTAAGGATGAGAAAGAGTATGAATGAGGTGAAATGAGAGGTGAGAAGTGAAAGAGGGTAAAAAGAGATAAGGGGGAAATCCCTTTTTTTTACACGGCTGGGAACAGGAGCACCGCTCAAGTGGAGTGGAGCGCCCGCTCCTCCCTTTGGATATTATTACTTATTCTCTTTCGACAGTAGAAGTGGGCGTGCAAGGGTTGAGGAGTGCCCGCTCCTCTATTTGAAAGTCACTTCTGAGTTCTCTTCGTTAGTAGGAGCGGGCGTGCAAGGGTATCAAAGCGCCCGTTCCTTCCATTTGTATTGCCAATTGATCCGTTTTTAACAGTAGGAGCGGGCGTGATGTAGTTTTGGAGCGCCCTCTCCTATCAGCATTTCCGGATCCTGATTCCTTTTCAAAATATTTTTTTTAACTGATGATAGGAGCGGGCG